TCCCCTTACTGCTGTTGTAGTACATAGCACTAAAACATTAGTACATTTACATTTCTAAGCATCACAGATCAGCTTTTAAATGTTCATCTTTGTACATCTGCTTCACATAAATACATTTCAGATTCAGTGTCTTAGGAGAATGTATGCTAAAGAATGTGTTCAAGAGTTCATAGAACAGCAGCATGGAAGGGGCCTCAAGGATCATCTGGTCCAACCTTTCTTGGCAAAAGCACAGTCTAGACAAGATTGTCAGGATGAATCTTAAGTGTCCATTGTTGGGGAGATTATTCCAATGTCTCATTGTTCTCATGAAAAATTGTCCTCAGGAGTAACTTGTGCACATCACCCCTGGTGTTCTCCATGTGTCTCCTTTGTAAAATGGGAGTCTGTCGTCTTTGTAGGTGCTCTGCAAATGCTGGAACCTGATAAGAGCTCCCCATACCCTTCTTACTTCAAGGCTGAACAAATGCAGTTCTCTCAGCTGTTCCTCACATGACAGCTTCCCAGTCCTTGGACCATCTTTGTGGCCCTTCTCTGGCCCCTCTCCAGGCTGTTCACATCCTTTTTGCATAGCAGGGACCAAAACTGAACAGACTAATCCGTGTGTGGCCCGACAAGTGCTGAGCAGGCTGAACATGAGCTGAACCACATTTTGCAATACTGTGGTTCAGAGAGATGCTGCAACTATTGCATTGCTTTTATAAAACTCAACCACTTGCATAGCAGCAGTCCCAAATGCTGTAAACTTACTAACATTTTAGGGTTTGTGGCTAACAGGAAATGAATCAAATCTTTAAAGTTGCTATTAATACTTCTTGATTATGCAGTCAGTATCTGTGTGGATAGAGATGTTTATCACTTGGAAAGTGCTGACCATTTGACTTTCTGGATGACTTCTGGGTGCATCCAGGATTATATATATTCACTTAATTTAAAAGTGCATAATTATTCTTTACTATCCTACATTTACACTGCTGTTTTACTTGTGGCTGTCTTTGTATAGACAAAGTGTGCAAAACATTTTGTTTAATTCAAAATAGCTCTGATTTTTATAATGGACATTTGCAGAGTTTTTTTTTTTTTTCCAGTTGAATCTTTCCAGTACCAACCATACCTACTTATAGGGAGAATGTATATAGGAAGAATCCTATATATATATATATATATATCTCTCCTTTGTTTCTTACAATTAATGAAATTATAGGGTCTCTAGGTTTGAACCCGTGTACTTTCCAAAAATGATTTATAAATCGTTGTTGTCATCTCTTGTATATTTAAGTTTTTTGAAATTAGAAAACTAATTGCTATGGAGCTCACATCTACCTGAAGTGTGGTATATGGTAGTCTGTGTGACTTTGCTTTTCCCTCCCTTGCTATATTAAGTCAAGTTTCAACTGGTTACTTGGAACTTCACTCAAAATTTCATGGGTTAGGCCACGTTTTTATTTATAACCATTTATTTTACTCATTAATGCATTAATGTGGCAGTCAAGCAGATAGTGGAGCTATTTGTGATTAACCAATGAACAGTTTTAGTGTTTTAGTGAATTTTAGTCAATTTCTAGTTAAATTTTAGAATTAGCTATAATGCATTTGCATAGACTTAACTGGAGAGGTATTGCAGTTGTGTGACTTTCATGGATTTATTGTTTGAGCTCTCAGGGGTTGGGGGTTGTCCAACCCTTTCCTTCCTCTTCTAAATACTGTTCTCTATTCTTTCTCACTTGGTGAACTAATTTTCACTCTTCAATGCTATTCTAAGAGATGTAAGGCAACTCTTGACAACGTTCCCTATAGATGGTGTAAGACAAGTTAAATGCTCTTCCTCACTCCCATGTGCTTGTCTGGGGAAAGGGTGGGATATCCAGAAGCCTGTATGATTTTTTGACTTCAGCTTCCACTCAGAGTTAGCAGGAGTCTAGTGCTGTTGTATGCTTACAGGCTTTCTTTACTCCTGACTTTGCCCAGTTTCTGGGGTCAAACCATCAAAATGTTGGTTTATGTTGCAGGTTGTAGAACAAATGGTGCCAGACTTGAGTGAAGTTTGTGTTTATTCTTGCTTTGGCCTTTGCCCATGTTATACAAGACACAACAGTGCCCTAAATTTGATGTGGCTTCTGATAGCAGCATTTCTAGGAGCAAGTTGATAAAGCCTAATGAACTAAATCCAGACTTTTTTTGTGAAGAGGGGTGGGAGGGATCTCCAAAACTCTGCATTGGGATGGTAGAGGAGTAGTGGAATCTGTCATGAACAACCATGTGAATGTAAGAAAAGGAACAGGAAAAAACAGCTACATGTTTGCTCTCTTACATGGAAAGCATCTCTGGGAGACAACTGAGTAGGGCCACACAGGAAAAAAAAAAATGTATTTGCAAGTCACTGTTAAAAGCTGACAGCAAAAAAAGGGAGCAAGGATGAATTTGTGTGGAATGGCAATGTAGGAAACGGAATGAAAAAAGGAGTGTGGGAACAGAGCAGAAAGACAAGTATCTAGTGAAAGGAGTATTGAAGGTTCAGTCTCTGACATAGGAGGGTAGTAAAATCCCAGTGAAGTAATAAAAGGAAAAGAGGCCCAACTTTGTCACTGTGACTTTTAACATATGGTAAGTTAAACATTTACCGGAGCTGGAAAAGGTCAGGATTAATTTAACTAAAAGAATAAAATTATTTGAATCAATATTTGGTTTGGTTCAACTGACTTCTAAATTGTTCTAAACAAATCTTCAACTTGGATCTTTGTTGTCCTTTAAAAGGTGTACTTAAAGTAAGATGTCTGTCTAAAAAAATACATAGAACATTTTAATTAAAAGATATTGGGGTTTTCCCCCAAATAAAAGTGATAGCTTATGAAACTAGGAAAAGATTGAAGTACACTGATTTAAGTCTGTGTTGGTGTAATATAAAACACAAGAAAAGGTGTTTTTCACTAAAAATGTACTCTTATTGGTATTTTATGAAATATACTTATTGGATTTAACAATATAATTGTATTTAAAAGGACAGAATTAGTTACTGTAATGCGTTGGTATTTGTATGTACTACCTTGCATACACACACAGTAGCATTTAAACTTTCTCAAGTGTTCTGCCTGACATTACTGTGGCTTATTTTCTGTTCTTCTATGTGACCCCAGTTTATATTAAAAATACTCAGCTTTGTGAAACTAACACATTTACAGAGCTTATCAAAATTGGTTAGAAGGAGGAGTGCAATAACAATCTAGAACACCTTACAGAGCAAACCCAGTTCTTTGCTGATTTTATCATTTTAAGTTTGGGCTTAAGGTAAACTTTTGTATTAGTTCATCTGAGAAAAGATGTTCTTCAAAATACCGACTTAAAACCTTCAGTGTAAGATTATTCTTTAAAAATTCACCTGCCTAAGCAGCTGATGCCACTCATTCATTGCAGGCAGGATTGCCAGTGCTAAGTGGGTGCTGTTTGAACAGTACTGCTCTGATGTGTTCTGGGGTGTCAAGCAATCTGGTGAACAATGTTGTGTGTGTTTCATGTAAGTGTTTCTATTCAGAGAAAGTGTTCTTCAGTTTCCAGTGTTGAGAAAACAAAGCTATAGGTGAAATTGTAGATGAAAAGTTTGAAAGTGTCTTCAATCACTTTTTTGTTCTTGTTAGTAACATTTTAATGTTTAAGTTTGCTCTTGGAGCTGTATCTGTTCTATTACACTAAGACTTTTTATTTACACGTTTAGGAATACTTATTAATCTTTGATGATATTGCCTTAATTTAACAGCACTACATTAACCACACTACTCCAACACTGTCCAAGAGTAAGGAGAGAGAAGTGGACAAGAAAGATTTGGACAAGTCAAGGGAAAGATCCAGAGAGAGAGAGAAGAAAGATGAAAAGGACAGGAAAGACCGAAAAAGGGTTAGTGAAACTTTTGTGAACCAGTTTAGAAAGTTGGTATGCACTTGGAAAGCTTTCTGTTCAAAGTCCTTGCAGTAGTAGCTGGTGGTACAGCCTGCCCCAGCAGAAGCGGTCCACAGCAGGGCTGGTTTCCTTTGGCTCTGTTGCTTTTTCAGAGGTCGGTTCACAGTAACGTATTCAAACCTTTTTCCCTTCACAACCGATCTCAAACAACTTTACACAAGACTTAATAACTCAGTTACATTTTAAATATTCCAAAATTAGTTCTCAAAAATAACATTCTAAGCAGGTGCTACTTCAGGAGTATGTTTTAATCTGCTAACCTCTGCATCATTGTATTTGGTGCCAGGATCATTCAAACAGTGACCGAGAGGTACCACAGGATTCAACCAAGCGACGCAAAGAGGAGAACGGGACAAGTACGTATTTTATTTTGTTTGTGAGTATTGAGCTTTTGTTTGTTGTGAATTACAACTTCCCATTGTGTTTTTAGCTGGTTCTTCAAAACATAGTAAAAGTGAAAGTCCTTCTGACTCCCCTCGCTTAAATGAAAAGGAGAAGGAGAAAAGCAAATCAAAATCTTCAGGAAAAGAGAAAGGCGATTCGATTAAAGCAGAAAAGATGGAGAAGAGCTCCTCTGGTAGCAAAAAGGTAAAATAAGCTATTCTCATTTTGTTGATTTCATGTTGTTGTTGTTGACAGAACAAGCAGATTCTTTCTTCCTGAATTTTATTGCTGGTTTATGGCCTAAATTAAAAAGACATGCTGTGAATATGTAGGAAAACGCTTCTGGAAATTCTCTTGTCTTGTGGCTGTAAACATTTTAGCAGTCCTGGCAGGATAAATTGGAGGAATAGTTCATTTTGGCAGTAACCAGGAAAATTCAGAACTTACATTTCGGGATTTGAGCAATCAAGAGTATTTACAGACTGGTTTGGTGAGCAAATATTTGGAAGCAGGGTTAATTTACATATAAACTAGTCTGCTTCTGTTCAGAATTTTTCAAGTGCATGTGCCACCACAGCTTTTTTTTTTCTGTGAAAACATGTATGTATGTTGTAGTTCTAAAACACCAAACAGTAGTTCCCAGCTGTAATTCTGTAGTGATAGAAAATGGTAATATAGTCCAAGAAATCAGAAGCTGACAACTGTCATTCTGACTCTTTTTTTGGCTGTGACCAGTTGTAACTGTAAATATGTATAATCTTTCTAATCAGACTGTACTATCTGTATGGTAATCAACTATTTCTCATATGTTTTTTTTTAAAGGAATCAAGGCATGATAAAGAAAAAGCAGAAAAGAAAGAAAAACGAGACAGCACTGGAGGGAA